GTCGGCTCGTGCTGATGGGGGGGGGGGGTCAGTCATGCTTTGTGGCTGTATTGCTTCTTCAGGTACAGGGAATCTCCAGCGTGTGCAAGGTACCATGGATTGTCCGTGTAGGTTCTCATCCCGGTCATTTAATCCAAAAATAGTTACCTCGAGGTCAACTTGACAGTTCAGTTGAACTTAAGTGAACTGAAGAAGCCTCTTGGATGAGAGGTGAAAAAAAAAACACCCTACTTCGTCCAGTTGCCCTCGATGTAACTATTTTTGTACCATGAATTCTATTAACTACCAGATCTTAGCTCTTCCAAGGCTGGAACATTCTGGAGTGGCTATCGCAATCACCCGACTTAAATCCAATTTAAACTTTTTGGTGGGACTTGAAGAAGGCAGTTGCAGCATGCAAGCCAAAGAATGTGAATAATTGGGTTGAATAATTTTGAACACAACTGTATATGCATCTATGCCTGTATGTAAATATATTTATATATGTATATATTTATTTATTTATTTTATTATTTTTGAAGAACTCGAAACTGTGAAACATACGTTGTCGTCTGTCTCCCCAGAATTACGGGCTAGCTTCCGCTTTCTAACAACCAAAAAACGTAGTGGCGCTGTCTTCAGAGGGGTCGAGAGGATTCAAAGCAGTTTAGCCCCTTTTGGATCAAGTTACTATATTTATACATTACTGTCTAATTTTTTTTTTTATTCACAAATTGTTAGTTTTAAAATATCTTTAAATTTATGAGAACAATATGAAACTGAAACTTAGTCGACTGGTCAACTAATTTATTGGTCGATACGTTCTGGGTCTACAAAAACTGATTTAAAATAAAGCAAATAGACTACTGCTCTTTATGTTTATTTGTAATTAATTTAGGCGGACAAGGCTACCAAGAACTTCCTTTGGTTGATTACAGCTCCACAGGCAATAGATATTGTGAAATGAAGTATTATGCACCGGGTCAGCTGTTGCTCGGCTTTGGTTTAGCATGCTAGCGGCGGTATACACCTGCATGGGTCCTAAACACTGCACCATTGCCACTAGCACGTTACTAGCATGTAGCTATCATGTAGAGTGGTAGCAGCCCTACCTGTAGGCCGTTCATCTGCATTGAACTGTGGTGCTTATCGATTTAGAAAATTGATTAATAAGCTGATTGGGAGAGCAGTTGCTAGCACGTCACTAGCATCCAGATAGCATGTCGAGTGGTAGGAGCCCTACGTGTGGTCTGTTAACCTGTGAGGAACTGAGGTGCTCAGACATTTGTTCGCCGCGCTGATAACAAAAAATGTAGCATAAGCTATATAAGCTCAAGTAGGTTTGCTAGCAGGTTACTAGCATGTCGCTAGCGAGTAGAGCAGCGCCAGCATGTTGATTTGCAACAGGTAAAAAAAAAGTTAGTTGAGAGACTATTTTCATCAGTTCAACAAAAGCATACTTTAGTTTGGAGGTTGTAACACAGGCATTGAAACATTAAAGTTTTTGTTTGTTTGTTTTTCAAAAAATTATCAAAATGAAATGAACTTCCATTTTTGTCTGTTTTTGTCACTCAGTTTACAGACTCACTTTTTTAGCAGTATGATAGCATCTTGACAAATCACAGTAGACCAGTGGTTTCTAAAGCAAGGTGCAGGCCCCACAAAACTTTTGCAGAAATGGTGTTGCTAGGCAGATTAAGTTGTTCCAGTATTTACTTGTCAAAATATGCAGTACTGTAATTTTGTTTAAATTGTTGCAGTGACAGTGTTTGAAAAACGTTAAAGATTTAAAGTAAATGCTCTACATGTGTCAACATGGGGGTCTGGGGCTTGACATGAGTCCATGAGTCTTTGAAGGAGGACATTTTTTTTGGGGAACCACTGCAATAGGCATTGCCTTCTGCTAATGTGTGTCAACAAAATCAACCTCAATATTTTGTCCCTATCAGAATATGTTCCTCGGAGTCCTAATCTGTTTTACACTGTGACCTTTGACCCTGGCAAATGACATATTGTCCCAGGTCATCTTTATTCTATAATGGCCCAAAATTAGGTGGCTGTCTTTTGATAAACATCACTGTTGTTTTAAAATTTCAAGAAATGTCAAAGACTTTTGCTTAACGTTTAATACTTCTAGTTAATTCAATAATTAAATGTATTTAATTTGGTAACATAGTAATCGATTAAATGGAATTTTCTTCATTATCTTCAGCGTGTGTTCACAGTGTTTAATTATTTCTTCACTTACAGATGCGTTTGCGTCTCAGGTAGTGTCTCACTGTCCATTCCGTCCTAACATTTGGGTTGCTTGCCTTTGAACACATCGTAAGCACAAAATGCTACAGTCAAAAGTGAGACCGAGTGCTCTTCTCTATACTTGTTACCTGACTGTTTTGGTTTTTTTTGGGTTGTTTTTTTTTTTCAAAATTTTTATGGGCTGCAGGAATATTTGGGGAGCATTAGGAAAGTAGCTGTGATTGGTTTCATGCTGTGTCGCCTTGGTAACCTGACGTTCAGCGTGGTAGAGAGGGAGCCCGTCTTGTACTAAATGGACTAGAACATCATTTTTACCCGCACTGTTATTCCTGCTTTGTGAAGTCAGTTTTTACAGTCTCGTAAAGATTCATTTTGCTTTCGTTATAAATCTTCAAAATTCAGTCATTGTAGAGAAAAATAAAAGGCAGAAATCAATGTGTTTTGACAGTTTGTAAAAGGCTTAGACTTCACGCCAAGTTCCGTAGAAGAAGAATCAGCGATTCAACGCGACACGGGGGTTGTCAATCAACACGATCAGTATGTTCAGAAACAAAAAAAATATTTAAAATTGGCGAGTCACTCAACATAATTTCCTGCCAAAAAAAAAAATCAGTATGGATTTTTCCGAATTTCACTGGCCTGAAACTTATTTTACTATTTATGTCGTGTGACTTCAAAATGACATTTTTCTACTCAAACAGAAGCTGTTTGTTCTGCGCGAGTTCCACCTGGACTTTGCCTTCCATTAGTGACTGCAGCGTGAGATAAATGGAGGTTAGGTGTGTGTGAACCTTGCATCATGATTCTGTGGGCTGCGTGGCAGCAGGAAAACGTTAGTCATGTGAGCCGTAGGATCCCCAATGACCTGTCAGGCTTTCAAAGTGAAAGCAGGGAGCAATGATCATATTTCAAACTTGTATGAGGAAAAGGGAGAAAAAAAAAAAAAAACGCTAACTTTGCCGTCGTGCTTATGGACAGGTTTAATTTAAAACAGCGTCTGCACTTTTGCGTCACGTCAGCTCCGCTCTTGTTTGCTTAAGAAAGATGCCCATGAAATTTCGATTGACGCTTTCCCCACATCAGCTGTTTTCCCGCCTCCTCGCGCTGTCCCTCTTGTCAACTTGTCCTCACAATTTTTTTTTTTTTTTTTTTTTTTAATCACAAAACGCTCCAGGATGATAAAGTAGTAAGAGAACAGTAGCGTAACTTCCTCTCAATTGTAATGATTTGTTGTGCAGCGGGCAGGAGCGGCCATGCAAACATTGAGATTAATGGCGAACCAGTCAGAAAATCTGCCACTGTGCTTCATTATCGACACGCGGGTTAACAGGCCGGCGTTGAGGTGTCTCCATGGTGACAGTCAAATGGTAAACCCATTTGGAGAGATGGAGGTAAAAGAGCTCTTTAGAATCAGTGAAGGTGTGGCGGGTGGAAGGGCGAGGTGCCATTTTTTTCTTTTTTTTTTTGTTCCTGCCAGTAAGCAGCAGTGGCTCATGCTGCTTAAGCACCTCATTTGGAGCCATTGCTGCCATTTAATCCACTCTGGAGATGGCATCCCTTCAAAGGCTGTTTGTGATATTTCACAGGATTGTAAAGAGGGAACTGTGTGTAATTGGCCAGCCTTGGAGAAACTGGTAAAAAAAATATGTGTTGTGTGCATTTGCAAGGACAGATGATGTTTGAAGGTCTTGATGCATTTTACAAAAAAAAAAAAAATTGTATTTCCACTAATTTTTCCATATAATACTATAGTAATAGTATAAAAACTTAGTGAGTCCTCTTTTCAGATAAAACAACTCCAACTAAATTCTTTGATGGTTTTTGCCGCAACAAGTTCTGATACTACTAGCTACAAGAAGTCCAGTTGC